AAAAAAAAAAAAAGAAAGTTAATTGAAGTATTTCACTGAATTCTCAAGGGAACTATATATAATCATTCAAATAGTAAAAATGAATTATCTCCATATGCTTTCGATATACAGTTTACTTGGGATTTCATGTGTTGTTTTCTTTTTAACAGGCTTTCAAGGATATGCTGTATTCAGCTCAGGACCAAGCACCTTCTGTAGAAGGTAAGATGAATTAACCCTTAAGGCACAGAAAACTCTGTGTTCCCGCCTAATGGGCACAATGTAATGGTATGCAGGACACAACTACAGCAGGACTTTACCTAACAAGTACAAACATTGTCACCTACTTGTTTGTACTATCACAGTAACCTGAAATAAAAAATAAATAACAGAAAACTTTTTTAAAAAGGAAAGCTATTTTAAACTGCAGAGTAAAAAGCAAATATAACCTGCCCTATTATGTATCTTTTTTGCTTTTGAAAATATATACATTTGATTATTTTATTTTTTAATCCAAAATTTTCCTTTGTCTAGCTCACATTTATCCTATGATGGATGATCCTTTACTGTGTCCTGATGTCTTCTTGAGGCTGTGAATCACAGATATTGGTTTAATCAAAGTTTTTTGGTCGTGCTTCCCTCCCCCAATGTATTTTTATATCCATTCATCCTTCAGCGAATCCTTAGTCCATAATCAGTTTGGGTAACACAGCTTTTCCTTCCTAGTTATGTCATGCCTCTAAGGCAGTGGTTTTCAGCCAGTGTGCTGAGACATACTGGTGTGCTGTGAAAGGATCTTAGGTATGCCTGGAAAACTTTTAAAGATCATTAAGTTATTTTTGAAAGAAGTTCAAAGCACAATAAGTATATTCTCTTTTTTTACTCTTTTTTAAAATCAACATAATTTAAGTGTGCCGCAGAAGTTTAACTGTAGGTTTTAAGAGTGCCATAAGATAAAAAAGGTTGAAAAGCATTGCTTTAGAGCAGGGGTCCTCAAACTTTTTAAACAGGGGGCCAGTTCACTGTCCCTCAGATTGTTGGAGGGCCGGACTGTGGGCCCTGGGATGAGTTGGCTGCTAAGCAGGACAGGCAGGATAAATGACCTCGGTGGGCTACTTGTGGCCCGTGGGCTGTAGTTTGAGGACGCCTGCTTTAGAGTATAACTACAAAAACAATGGAACATGTTTATGCATACACATGCACAGTTTGGCGGTCATAAAACGACCGAGGGCAGTAGTTACTGATGCAATTATCTTCATTGATTTTTCCTCATCTATTACCTCAGCTTCTGCTCAGCAATTCATTTTTTATGAGGTTAAACTGTAATAGGTTTGGAAAGATGCAAGTTAAAGTTATGGGAATCCTCTTGTCAGTAAATAATTAGGAGATAATTGAACAACTATTTTTTTTTCTTTTGATACCACTGTACTAACAAAGATCAACAACTACTCTTGAGGGTGATTATTCCTGCTAAGGCTGGACATTGTTTTAAAATTCCTCATCAGATTTTTTAGGAGAGATGAATGTGAAAAAGTATATACCAAGGATATTCTAAGTTTTATGTACAGAGTAATATTTAGTGACAAGCTATTAGAGGCATATTTCTATCACATAACAACAGATGTTAAAGTTGTTTAATAAAAGTTAGATATATAGTTAAAAATCTTATTTCTTTTTACATAGAAATTTACACCTTTCATCTCAAACCATTCTGAGATAAAAAATGTGCTTCAGTGTCTCAGAATCTTTTCTTTTATCATTTAAAACCAGATATTGATAGTGAGGTATTAGTTTTATAATATATCAATAAATTTTAGACTATATTTAATTCCTAATATTTACCTTAAGACACTTAAGTGTCTTAACATGTTTAGTTCCTTATAGGGTTGTATCTTATTTTATGTATCCTAAGGAATACTTTTTTAAGAACTATCTTAAGAATGTAAGAAAAATGAAGTCTGTGGAAATTGTACTCTGTTTAATTTGCCTTAATATTGGTTCTTTTAATTTTATCCTCGAAGTAAGACTCCTTATCCTCAGTTTGTAAAAAAGGTTTTATTTGATTTGTAACAAAGACATGTTGAGTTATGTTGAAAGTTATGGTGACATTTATTCATCCCCTCCATACTGGAGTATGTGCCTAGTAATTTTTTTCATTTTCCTTTTAGCTGTTACTAGAGAAAAACCAAATTACGTGAAAGTATGCTCAGAATGATAAATATTTACAGTTAGAAGTCTGTCTTTCTCTCATTTTCCATGAGAAGGCATTGACTCCTCTGGATCCTTTTGTAGAGGAAGTAGTATGAACTAATCTTGCAGGAACATGTGTTGGGTTTGCAAAGGAAATATTCTATACTCATTCTTTCTTTTTGCTTTCATTTAAACATAGCTGTAAGACCATGTAGTATGTATGTTTGTATGTATGTATGTATGTATGTATGTATGTATTTGGAGACAGCCTAGTCAGCTTGGCCTATTGTTGAGGCTGTAGCATGATCATAATTCACTATAGCCTCAAACTATTGGTCTCAAGTGATCTTCCCATGTCAGCCATGTGCCACTGTGCCTAGCTAATTAAAAAAAAATTTTGTGTTGTTTTTTTCATTTTTTAATTATTATTGTTATTTCAAATTTTTTGTAGTGAGGTCTTGCTACATTGCCCATTCTGGTATCCAGCTCCTGGACTCCAGTGATCCTTCCACCTTGCCTCCCAAAGTACTGGGATTACAGGTGTGAGCTGTTGTATCTGGCTGTTTTTATTTTTTTAATCTTGAATTTTTCTCTTCCAAAACACTGGAGAATTGAAGTTATGTAAGGTGCTTTAAGGAAATACTCTGTGTAACATTGAGGTTAGAAAAAGTTGGTAAAGGGCCTATAACTGTTCTCTCACTTATATTGTGATTTTATATTAATTTATTATCTCTTGTGTAGTGTTAAATTTAAATGATAACTCTATGTTATCCTGGTGATTGAGTTTAAATTTTAGGCTTTTGTTTAGCAGTTATTTATAAAATAATGCAGCATATGTAGCTCTATCAAAAGTCCGAGGTAGGACTTTATTCTTTTTATTTTTTTTTTTTTGAGACAGAGTATCACTTCGTTGCCCTTGGTAGAGTGCCTTGGCATCATAGCTCATGGCAACCTCAAACTCTTGGTCTCAAGTGATTCTCTTGCCTCAGCTTCCCAAGTAGCTGGGACTATAGGTGCCTGCCACAATTTTTAAAGATGGAGGTCTCGCTCTGGTTCAGGCTGGTCTCGAACCTGTGAGCTCAGGCAATCCACCTGTCTTGGCCTTCCAGAGGGCTAGGATTATAGGTGCGAGCCACTGCGCCTGGCCTATTTTTAACATTTTTAAAGGAAAAAAATGTTTGATAGGCCTGGATTATTTTTGAATATTGTTTTTATCTCTGCTTCATTCTACTATTTTCTTTCTGCACCTTAAATTTTAGTAGACTTAAAACTTTTGATATCAGAGAGCAAATTCAATTCTTTTTTTTTTTTTTTAACTCTAGTATACATTATGTTAGTGGTTCTTGAATCTGTCAAACAACTCAACTTACCTGGGTGGGGTGTCTTTTTTATTTTTTAACAAATACTGATATTTGGTCTCTATCTCATTCTCAGACTAATTGAAATAGGATCTGGGGGCTTGGTGCCTGTGGCTCAAGTGGCTAAGGTGCCAGCCACATACACCTAAGGGGCAGGTTTGAATCCAGCCCAGGCCCGCCAAACAACAATGATGGCTGCAACCAAAAATAGATGTGCCTGTGGTCCCAGCTACTTGGGAGGCTGAGGCAGGAGTCTTGCTTGAGCCCAGGAGTTGGAGGTTGCTGTGAGCTGTGATGCCATAGCACTCTATCCAGGGGGACAGCTTGAGGCTCTGTCTCAAAAAAAAAAAAATAGGATCTGGGAGTGGAAGGCATTAGTATTGATGCCTGATGTTGATATTGATAGATATTAATTTTGTCTTTACATTCTCCTTAGGTAATATTAATATTTAGCCATACAAAGCCAAAGTTGAAAACTCCTGCCATAAATCTTTTTTTACAGTGGTGTGATCATAGCTTGCTGCAGCCTCAAATGGCTGGGCTCAGGTAATTCGCCTGCCTCAGCTTCTCAAGTAGCTGGGACTATAGGTGCACGCTACCACACCTGGCTAATTTTCCTATTTTTTGTAGAGGTGGGGGGTCTCACTCTCATTTAGGCTGGTCTTGTTCAGACCAGGCCTCAAGCAGTCTTCCTGTTTTAGCCTCCCAGAGTGGTGAGATTATAAGCATGAGCCACTGTGTCTGCCATAAGTGTTAAATAATTTTGGGTCATATGGTTAATGCTAACCTTCTTTTGGACAGTAAGAAGCCAGTAGGTTTCTTGGCTTCTTATGTTCATTGATAGTTTGATTATTTTATTATTAGTATTTTTTCCTTATTTATAATTTTTAGAGGGACATTTATTTTTAAAACGTTTATTGAATTGAACCTAATAGCTGTATCAAGTTACTGGAATATGTTAAGTAGTTATAACATTATTAGAGTTAAATGTTTTTGCTGATTTGCTACTTATGATATGTTGTATTTCAATAAGTATCTTTCTTACAGTTTATACTCTGCTTTTATTTAAGGTGGAATGGATTTATAATTGTGGTAAAAGAAAAGCAACTTGAAATGGATTCTTTAAGAGTGAAACAGTTTGTTTGATAAAAGTGGGTTAGATAAAAGACACAACATATGACAGTTTTTGTTGCTAAGAAGTTGAACACAGATACACTTTTTTGTATTAGTGAATTATTATGTTCTTCTTCTTAGTAGAACAACATTTAAGGATGATGTCTTTATACTTCATTGATGAAGTAGGCTTTTTCCCAAATAAAGCAAATCAACCAAAGTTTTAATATATTGAGATACTTTGTTTACTTTAACTTGTTTTTTATTAAACAAAAAATCAAATTCAAATTCATGGTTATATTGTTTCATTCATCCTCTGAGAGTGAATTTCATGGATTAGTTACACATTGCACACAAGTTTTCACTTTTAAAATAAATACTTTAACTATTGTAACTAGTACTTATATTCTGAAGTAATATAGATAAAAATTCTTACAGACTTATTTTCAAGCATTGCTTATAAATTTACATCTAATGTCTTGATTACCTACTCCTCTTTGTAATCTTTGTTATGCTTGTGTAATCCTTTATATTTGGAAATATTATATGCCTGAAAAGATG